AAAAAAAAAAAAAAAGTCACATGAACTTTGAGGGAAAAGGAAATGTTATATATCATAATTATAGTGTAGATAGACCACTATGTACATGTTTTCAAAACTCATTGAACTGTTACACAGAAAACTGGAAAATTTTATTTGAAAATTATACCTCAGTTTTTAAAAAGGTTATACATAATAAATCAGCATACTTTTTAAAGAATCATTTTGTTATTGGAAAGGGGACCTGGCCCTTGGCAGGTCTGCCTAGGGTGAGCCAGTAGTGTGTGGGTTCTTGACTTTGTGCAGGAAAATCTCACGAGTCCAGATGACAATGAGGGAACATTTATTAAAGCTAGGGACAGTAAAACAATTAAGGGCTTAGCATAGAAGAAGCAAAAGGAGAGCCTAGGCGGGGCTGCCCTGGCTCTCTGGGAAGTAGAGAAAAGGGGGCCTTGGGAACCGGTTCAGATTAGCCTGCAACGAGCTCCCCCTGCCCATTGCTGCCCTGGCTGCAAGTCTTGTGGGGTCCCTGTGCGGAAAGAAGAGGGAAAAAGGAATGGAGGCATGGGGGGGGTGTTCCCCAGAGGGAGAGCCCACTGGGTCCTTTGTCTTGAAGTTTTTATTTCTTAAGAAAGGTCTCAGGGGAGTGTCTCAATGGAGTATTAATCAGCTTTGCAGGTGTGCTCTTTCAGGGTGGGGGTCTCTATCAATTGGTTGGTGCCAGGGCAGGGGTCATTAGTCAATGTATCAGGTCCTGAGACAGCCCAGGCACCACTTGCCTGGTGGCTTCGCTGCTTATCTGGGCCTAGAGCTGAAATACAACAGAGGCCTACATATTATCTTTAGGGAGGAACACTCAGAGGGTCTAAACTGCATGACCAGAGAGATACGCTAGGAGAGGGTAGATTACCCTGGGGACAAGGTTCTTATTTTCCCAGTTTCACCCCTTGCTAGGCATCTGAGGCTTCCTGCCCTGGTGAGTTTCTGTACCTGGCCCATCTAACACAAACCATTTACTCTCGTGTCCTTGGTTTAGGGAAGATAGGATTTACTAGGTAGCTGTAAACTGCTGTTTAACAATCTGTCTCAGTTTCCCTGTTCCACTTGTCCTGACTTACTGGCTGTCTCAATTTCAGTAAAAAATATATCACTTAGTAAACAAATATTTATTTGTAGAAAATCTGTAAAATACTTTTTCACAATCATAAGCAGTGTTTACTTTTTAACATTTTTATCTTTTCTTATTTTTATTGAATCTACTGGGATGACATTGGTTAACAAAACTATGTTTCAAATGTACAATTCTATAATACATCATCAGTATATTGTATTGTGTGCTCACCGCCCAAAGTCCAGTCCTGTTCCATCACCATTTATCCCCGTTTACCTTCTTCTACCTCCCCCACCCCCCTTTCCCTTTAGTAATCAGCATACTGTTGTCTGGGTCTATGAGTTGTTTTTTTCATTAATCCCTTCACCTTTTTCACGCAGACCCTCAACCCCACTACTGCAACTCTGCCCTTTCTATTAGTCTTGACGTGGCTTCTTCTGCAAAATATTGGTTATAATACTTCTGTTCAGCTAGTTTTCAGTTGGTTATTCAGGTTGGTTGATCTATATTTTAGTTGTAATTCTACTTTAGTCCTGGGAGAAGTGAGTGTAGCTTCCACCTATTCTGCTGACACCTTGGATCCACCTCTGACATTTTTATAAAAAATATTTTTAAAATTTTTTCCAGAAAAATAAGCAAACTAACACGTACTTGAAGAGTGATCTTGAACACAATTTAAAATCCTCCAAAAATGTTTCCTAAACTCAGTATAAATTTGGCAGGTTTCTGAATGCTTTTCCCAGAATGTAACAGCATAGCACAGGCTGTATATTTGGGTTGTACAAGGGCCACATAGACCATATAAGTGAGTGACATGGAGCAAGAGGCACTGTCATAAACTGTGCATGGCCCCTCCCAAAAGAACTGCCACCACTGAGTTCTACATATTGACACTAGGAAAGAACACATGCCACAGTGTAGTCAGAGCATCTAAATTTTAAAGAAAAGCAGAAATCTGGACTTTTACGTGAAATTTCCTGATTTTTATAGAATAATGGTTCACATTTTTTATATTACTGTGTGAGCCAAACAAAACACATCCATAGGCAAAATTATGACCTCTGGTCCTTAGTGCAGGCTTTGTGACTTTTTCAGTAACAGTCTTGCCATCTTTCTAAAGGCTTACATCTTTATTTGTGATGAGCCTAGGATAATATAAAATACTCGTGCAACTGAAGTAAAAATTCATCTCAAAATTGCATGAAGGCTAGTCACTTCCGGCCATTTTGCTGAACAACCATGTCCTGTTTACATGTCTAAGCATACTTGTTGGTGACGAAAGAAAACAGTCCGTCAGAATAAAGGGAGGGGGAGTAGGAGAAACCTGAAGAAAATTTCAACTTAAAGATCAGAGTCAGCTTCTAGACTCCAGAGCAAGAAAATAATCCACGTGTTGAAATTTGAGAACTTCATTGCCCCAACTAGTCCAACCTGGCTGTAAATTTCGAGCAAACAATTCCAAACATTCCCCATCTGGCTTGATATAGTCTTTTAAAACCTCTGTCCAAAAAAGAGAAAAAAACATAAAAATTATTATTAAGAAAGGAATCAATATCCTTTTAGCAGTTAAGATTAGAAACGCAAAAATATTTCCCCCCACCAAAAAAAGACAGCAAATTAATTTCAAGGATTTCGTCACAGGCTTTACTATTTATAGGTAGAAAGTCATTTGAAATAAGTACCCTTGAGGTTGGGGAAAACACCATGAGAACTTTCAATAGCCCTGATTTATTGGTTTTCATTTGTAGATGAGAAATGAGGATTTTAACACCCACACAGATGACTTTTCAGTTTTCCAATACTGCTGACAGATCTCCTGAGTAAAAACTTAATTTATTTTTAATAAACGTAATCCATGCATGAAAAAGAAGTCTATAGCAACAATACAAAGACAACCAACTTAAAAAACTAAGACAAAATATTAGTCTCTGCAAACATATACTTTAGTGAAAGTGCAATAAATGAAGAGTTGGACACAGAAATATTCAGAACATCTGACTAACAATTAACTATATCCCCTTAGCTCTAACTTGGTAGTACTATGAACAGTCTTTCACTTCCAAATTATAGATCCTTATTTACCTAAAAATTTCACCATATTATTTCCACAGTTAAGTATTCCTTATTCATTGTATTAACATTGAAAATTATATTTTGTTTTAAAAAAAAAGTACCTCATATATATATTGGCTAAATAGCTGTGATCAACACTAACAAAGAAAAGAATACCATGGAAGCTTTTTTTTTAAAGCACATGCTCACTTGGATGACAAATATTTAAGTCAATTTAACCTTAATCACGTTGCTAAGTTAGCTATTAACCAATTACAGTAACTGGGTATGAAAACAACAATTCAGGGATGAAAAGTCACTGGACAGGTAAAATATAGTCTTAACTGCATACAAGATTGAGCTTGGAAGAAATCTATCAAATTCCCTTTAGTAATAAGACAGGTTCCTTAGGAATACTTGATATAGGGAAAGGGGGGAGGGGGGCGGAAGGGACACCTATAATACTTTCAACAATACATGAAAAACTGTATGTTTTTTAATGTTCTTCAATTGCTCTCACAGCAAAATATTTATTTGTCTGAAAGTACTGGTCTGTTTATCAAAAGTCAAAGAATTAAAGGTACCTGTCTATAACAACTAAATTCAAATTTGGGCTTTGCCAACTTCTAGGAGATGGTAGCATGAAGACTTTTAGTCCTTTTATTAGTATACAATTAAATGCTTTAATTCAATGCTTTACCAGCCTCAGTTCACTTTTAATGTAGTCTAAGATTATAATGAAACAGGGTTCTCTTTGTTCTTGCTTATTTGTTCAGTTTTTCAGTACAAAGATGTTAGCAACTCTATTTTGGAACATTAAACTGAAGACTAAACTGGAGTCAGACAGTCAAAAATATTTACTATCCTGAGCATCCACTATAATCAGTGCTATGGGATTTAATAAGAAAAACAGATGTCCATGTTTTCTAAGAGTTCACAATCTAATACAAAAAGATTACCAGATACTTAGAGTGGAAAAATACATAAAACCCAAACCCATTTATCACCTACTTTCTCAATGTAGCACATTACTGAATGATTTTTTTTTTCTTTCTGGCTAACAAAAATAGAAAATCAAAGAGTAATATCTTATGATGTTAAATGTTCGTTTAATTTCAAAACAAGGCAAAAGAAATAAAGGTAAATTAATAAAAATGTTTTATTCTTACTAATTTTAAATATGAATTAAAAAGCTAATGCAAGATCTTTAAAGTTACATCACAAGAAAAAAATGTTTAACTATGCATGGTAATGGATATTAGCTAGACTTATTGTTGGTGATCATTTCGTAATACAGATGCTCAACTTAACAATGGTTACATCCTGATAACCCATCACAAGTTGAAAATACCATAGGTCAAAAATGCATTTAATACCCCACTGAACATCACAGCTAAACCTAGCCTACCTTAAACATGCTCAGAACACTTACATTAGTCTACAGTTGGGTAAAACCATCTAACACAGTAAATGCACTGTAGGTTTAAAGTGATTGTTTACCCTCATTATTGGGTGGCTGCCTAAGAGCTGTGGTTCACTGCTGCTGCCCAGCATTATGAGAAAGTATAGGACTGCGTATCACTAGCCCAGGAAAAGATCAAAATTCAAAATTCAAAGTATGGTTTCTACTGAATGAATACTGCCTTAGTGCCATTGTAAAGTCAAAAAATTGTTGAGTAGAACTATTTTAAGTTAGGGACCATCTGTACATACATATATTGAATCATTATGTTGTATACTTGAAACTAATATGTCAATTATATCTCAATTAAAAGTAAATGCAAATATATAAATTTAAATATAACTTGTACATACTTAGATAATTACATAATATCTGGCATTAGTGAGGAAGTAATCTATGCATAACCAGTCATCTCCCTTTAGCTCTGGGAGCAAGGAGCTGGGCAGAAGTTGCTCAAACACTACACAGAATCTCATCAAACTATGTTTTACTCTTCAGATAGAAACTGACTGAGGAAAGTAGTAAAAAGGAGTGGAAATTCTTCTACGGTAAAATATAAAAAGTAAAGTTTGACTCAACTACTTTTATTTCATAATCTTCCTATTAAATCTTTAAACTTAAGAATATAGCTTTGTTAGGTTGTAAGCCATCAGAGCTATTGATGGTTTATCTTTCCATCTAAGGAGGAAACTTCAAAACTTAAAAATAGAGTAAATGTATCATTTGAAATGAATATGCTGCCAATTTGGTCTTTTTTATATTTTGCAGCAGAAATAGCAAATTATAACTTTTTTAAAAAAATCTTGGTGTGTCTAGAAGCAAAAGGAGGGCATTTCATTTTATGAATTTTCAGCTTAAGAACATTTACATGTAAAAGTTCTAAACATTAAATATAGAACATGTATCATCCCAAATCCTAGAGTTATGATCTCAGAGTAAAATATACTGCAGAAATTTGAAAGTTGCTTTCCAGTAGCTTTAATTTGTACAGCTCTACAACTAAAATACATGCACATGCTATCTAATAACATGAACTCAAAAATAAAGGATTACAAATATTTCTTGTCTCCCACTGCTTACCCAAAGCATAAGAATCACATATATGGAATAATGAGAATTTTCCCCCCCAAAAATCTAACTTTTGTTTCTAAATAGTTCTCAATCCTAACATGTGTTTGTGCTGCTCTCTACTGGGAATGTAGAAAAGCTGCATTTCATAAATACAGGCTGTAACACTAGTTTTTATGAGTAGTAATAAAAGACTAACTGCTTTCACTATTTTAAAACTTTAACTCTTAAAATTAATCTTTAAACATAATTTTATTCTACTTAAAAGTAACTGATAGTTTAATTATCATTTAAGAATGAAAGGTTTTGGGTCTTAGCTTTTGGATTTTTAAAAGTAAAAAAATAAGCTCTAAGACAAACACTAAAGTAAGCTTTGGTACTCACTGATTGATAAAATTCAAATGAAAAGAATACAAATTAGATTTTCTCCATCATGTATAACTGGTGTCAAACCATTTTTTCCTCAAAGAACAGTACAATCTCACTTTTCATTTAAGTCACATACTTAATATATTAAAAAATCTATGACAGTCCAAAGTTTAAAGGTGATTATTCACTGAGAATTATTCTAAGTCAAAGAATTAATCATCAGGTAGACATGTGAATATTCCTCAAATGAAGTAACACTATAATGTTTCTTCTACAATTTAAAATAACAGAAAAAGCCTAAGTGCTCTCAATAAAAATTCTTTGGGGAATTTGTATTCACTTTCCTATATATCCTAGCTCATAAACTATATCATTTTCTGCAAAGTAATATGATAGGATGGTAGCCTATAGTCTTCCTGAGTGGCAGCTTGAAAAGTTAGGGGTTTTAAAGCATGGATCACCAAATTAATAAAATATATATTCCTGAAGAAATTATTTGAATAGTAAACTTTGAATATCAAATTCAGTCTCTCTCAAAGATTTACATTCCTTTTTTAAAAACTCTCACTTGAAAAATTTAGCATTCACTGAGCTTCTATTATATGCTTCAGAATTTCAAATACATTATAACCAATCCTCACAAATCTGACAAATTAAATATCATTATTCTGTCTTTAAATAAGGACTCCGAAGTGTAAAATGATTAGAGTAACTCACTCAAGTAACACAGCCAGGATTCAAACTCATGTCAGTCAACCTCCAAGACCGAAACTTTCCACTATTCCTTGCTGCTTAGTTTCATTGAATGATTAACATTATACTAAAGCATTAAGACTAGTAAGAATTACAAGCTGCAGCAATTCCCTTTCCATTGGTTCAGAAAAGCAACACTACCTCAACATAAAATCCTGACAGTCTCTACCAATTATCTATTCTGGTTTTAAAACAAGCAAGAGATAGAACCCTAGTAGTAAAGCAAAACCCCCCACCAGGGGTGGGGAACCTTTTTTCTGCCAAGGGCCATTTGGATATTTATAACATCATTTGAGGACCATACAAAATTATGAACTTAAAAATTAGCTATGAAAAAAGCTCCTAGTTTTATTGAATTTTGAGTCCTTCCCGGCGCTGCCTTGGCAGGGCCAGACCAAGCAATTTTGTAGGCCGTACATGGCCCATGGGCTGGATGTTCCTGAACAATGCCTGAACTATAGTCCTCAGAGGCCTAGCATCAGTCTTAACATTCTGTCCAGGCCAGTGATGGGGTTGCAACCAATAAGGGGAACCTAAAAAATAGTTTGAGGAAAGACTGAGGTAATAAAAAAGGCTAATCTATGCAGCATGTTCAGTGGTCTGCAGATCTGTTTCTTGCTTCAACAGTGTTTGTACAGAACAGACCCAGGAACTCGCCTTCTTCCAGCCTGTGACCACCCTCCAACATCCTTTCCAGTTGCAACCTCCAGGACCAGCAAACATAATTTTTTATGGTTAGCTCCTATTGCCAACCAACCATGAGCTCTCAGATTTGTCACAATTACCCCACTAAGGCAGAGGCCTCCATCAGCTTCCCTGGTAACCTGCATCTGTGTACCTCCCACACCTACCTCTCTGGGCTTCTATTTCCACCATAATGATATGGCTCTGGAGGGCATAGGGCTGCTTCTTCTGCAAATTGGCCAAGCCATCTCTTAAAGATGCAAAACCAGTGGGGTGGCAGAACCCTCTTCCAGGACATGCAGATAGCTGTCCACTATCTTGGGAGATAGTGGATGCCATGGAAGCCATCATGGCCCTGGAGAAGAACCTGAACCAGGCCCTTTTGGAATCTGCATGCCCTGGGTTCTGCCAGCACAGATCCCCCCTTCTCTGTGCCTTCCTGGAAAGCTACTTCCTAGATAAAGTAGTAAAACTCACAAGAAGATAGCTCCAGACTAACCTCTACAGGCCTGCCTGCACCCAGGCTGGACTAGGTAAGTATCTCTTCAGAAGGCTCATCCTCAAGCACCACAAGGAGCCTCCTGAGCCTGGTGGCCTTTAAGGCGCCCCTCTGCATTACCCTGGAGTCAGGGCTTCTGTCTGAGCCTCTCCCTGCAGCCACTAGGCAGCTTTTTTAACCAACTAGATAGAACCCTCTCCCAAGACAAGAACCAAAGAAAACAATAAATATTTCAGCAGCACAAAAAAACAAAAACAACTAACTACTCATATATTCTGCTATAAAATTTTAGAATATTAATTAAAATAACATATCTGATTTAATTTTCAAATCTAGGCTATTCAAATACTAAATTCAATCCTTTTTTTCAATTTGGCAGAAGTCATAACAATTATATTTATAAAAACATACCTGCAAGAGGTGGCTTATGTGAGTGAAGAGTACAGGGCACACTGACAATTAACTTATGATCTGGAATGGGGAGCATATTCCTAATAAAAACAGAACAACAAACTAAATTATATTTTACAGAACATTTTTTATATGTAAGCCACAGTTGCCTTAACTTTTTTCACCTTTCAAATAACATCTGAATTTAAAATTAATTTAATAGAAACAATAAAAGAAATCAACAATTTAAGCATTAAGACATTTCTAATAATTTCCTTTTCAACAATGATAATTACACACTAGATAAAACAAAAAATATTATAAAGTTTCATGTGCCATACCATTCATACTTTTCTGGTGTGGGACATTTTCAGATTTTCAAAAACATTAACAATTAAGGAAAATCAATGATTATTTAATAATTTTTTAAAACCTAAAAATTAATACAATATAAATATTAATTTATATAATTTTGAAAAGTCACCATTCCTACCTTAATGGTAAAGCAGTTTTATCTTGAACTCTCCCCAGTATAAGAACTTCATAAGGCTTTTTGTGTGGAGAATCTAATGGGAATACAAACTCTCCTGAATTGGTGATCTGATAGGAAGGAATCAAAAAAACAAAACAGACAAACAAACAAAAAACATACATCTGTAAATATCCCAGAAAGGTTTGTTTTTTCCTACAGTTTCCACCAAAGAAAAAGAAATTATTAAACCTCCAGGCTAGTGCTGTCTAATAAAAACATAACATGAACCACAAATGCCAGCCACATATGAATTTTAAATTTTCTAGTAGCAACATTTAAAAAAGTCAAAAGAATGCAGTGAAATTGATTTTAAATATGTATTTAATCTGACATATCAAAAATATTATCATTTCAATATGCAATCAACTCAAAAAATTTACTGAGATATGTTATATTCTTTTTTCATACTACACCTCCAAAATCCAATATTTTACACTTAACACCACATCTCAGTTTGGACTAGTCGCAGAGTAACTACCATATTGGACACAGCAGCTGTAAGGGACTGAAAATTATTTTAAATATCACTTTACCATCTTGTATACAAAAATCTCTACATTTAATTAACATTTATTCCTGGAAACCATGCCATCATTAACTCATTTATTCAGTCATTCATATATTTACTGGCACTGTGACTAAGTAGATTATAGTATTTTCCTTCATTTATAGGAAACAGTATCATTAAATACTGTCAGAGCTAAAATTAATAATGAAAGAAGCTCATGGATTGATTGATGAGATAGGCAATAGTCCAATCCTTTGGCATTATAAATCCAGAAGTTAATTTTATCATTTCACCCTGGAGTGATCAGACTCTCAAAGATTCACTTAAGCTAATCAAATTCAAAATATAATTCATAATAACACTATCAATTCATTAATTAACCATGGAGGTATATATTTTCATTATCAGAACATTCATATATTTTATCTGTAAAACCTTTACCCCTATCAAAATACCTAAACACAAAATCAGTAAAATCTTTCTATCACCTCTGAGCCCATGAGAGACAGTGCCTCTACCATTGCAGTAAAACCACTGGAAATTCTCATTCTTTGGATGTTCTTTATACTTAATGCAGATTACTCCTTCTGTTATAACAATATATATAATTACCTAATAGTGTTTCATATATATAGGTCTTACAATACCATCTCTCACAACTGATTACTACTACAGTCTTAGTTTGGGGGGGGGGGTTGTTTTTTTAATATATCTTTATTGATTTTAGAGAGAGGAAGGGATAGGGAGAGAGAGAGAGATAGAACCATCAATGATGAGAGAGTCGTCACTGATTGGCTGCCTCCTGCATGCTCCCGACTGGGGATCCAGCCCACAACCCAGGCATGTGCCCTGACTGGGAATCAAATCATGATCTCCTGGATCCTAGGTTGGTGCTCAACCGCTGAGCCACGCCTGACTGGACTAGTCTTAATTTCTATGTGTTAACATTTTACTGGTTATGATTTCAGAAAGTAACCTTTTCCTGAGTTTGATCCCAGTGTCTGATTATTAAAAGAACTGTCATAATGGGCAGGGTGGAACAAGGTTTTATATTCCTGTCATGGTCCTATACCAAATCAAAAAAGCTAAGCCCAAAATATGTCATGAAAGCAAAGATACAACTAACTGTAAATGTTTGTTTGCCAAGTCCCATAAAATAGTTGCAAATTAACAATGTACATAGCTTTCAAAAGATATTCCACAGACTGCAAAGTACAAACAAAGCACATGGAAACAGGTCTCTCCTGTGTCTAACATGGATATGCCACCTATGTAAGCATTAGACATTCAACTCATACTAACCTGGCTTATCTTTCTAAAATGTAGGAGCGCTTTTGAAGAACTCATCTTAGACAATGTGTCTTTAAAAGGATGTCCAGTGAACTCTTAATTTTTCTGTATATTTTTATATTCTTATAGCGAGTACAGATATTAAAGATCATGCAACCAATTTGAGAGTTACAATCATTGTTTTCAAAAATAGGCACATCCCGGCCGGGTGTGGCTCGGCATTTGAGCATCAACCTAGGATCCAGATTGGGGTTCGATTCCCGGTCAGGGCACATGCCTCCTGGGTTGCGGGGTCAAGTTCCAACAGGGGGCAGCCGATCAATGAGTCTCTCATCATTGATGTTTCTATCTCTCTCTCTCCCTCTCTCCCTTCTTCTCTCTGAAATCATTAAAGATATTTTTTTTTTTTAAAAAAAGGCAGAGCAGCACATAAAGCACCGAAGGGCCTAAGGCAAGGTTTAAAGTATGAAAAGTTCTTGGTTCTAGCATCTTCCCACCTCTTCCAAACTGGGTTACTTTGCTATTCTCTCTCCTATCCCCAGCAATTCATAAGAAAGAAAAAAAGGAAAGAAATCAAAAAGGGTGACTGCCATTGTGGATGTATAAAGAGGAACCGAAGGGTAAGGCTATTTCTATGGTTAGTGATGGACAGATTCTCCAAAGTTTTTGTTTGTTGTTTTTTAAACTACAGACATCAGAACTTTTTAAATGTCATCCTGATATCTCTCTGAGTGACTTACTAAGGCCAGCAATTTGGGACTGTTACAAAAAAGAGAACAAAGTCATAAGAATAAAAAGATAAAAGTATTTAGCAGCAAAGTAAAAGTTTTAATTAGCCCATATTGAAGGAGTAGAGCAGTGACATGTTAAGTATTAAAAAGCAAATGCTACCTTAATATGACTTATATGTCACAAGTTAACTTCTGAACTTACTTTTAACCAGTGCCATTCAGCAACTACCTCCACAGACCACGAAGGATAAAGTTCTTCCTTTACAAAACGTAGGTGCTTCTGTCTATTAGTCACCCAAGTAATAACAAGGCAGTTTGGAGCAGCCAGTTTAGGGATAGGTATTTGTTTTATTTGCAGTGATGATAAATAACTGTACCTAAAAATAAACAGAAAATATATTAGTAAAATTTGCTGCAAAAAAACACACAAAAAAATAGGTAGGAAGAAGACCTGAATGACACTGACTCCACAAACACAAAGCTCCCATAAGTATTTATTTGTATTACTAAATATGAAGCTACAGTGACATCCAGTGGACACAGTATTACATGCAAGTCAGAAATAACCATTTTTTGTTTTTACTTATTTAAAATTGTGAGGCTGTATTTCTTTGTCACCTCTAAATGCATTACATTTCAGTAATTTTACTAATATGTACAATACGCTTTTTACCATTATTGTTTGGTTTTCATAATCTGTACATTACACAAGGACTCCCTCACTGTGAGTCTTGACACTATCGTCTCAAGATTCTACCGTATTTTCAACCCTCGTTCTATCATCCTCCTTCTTTCTTCCTTCCCAGTCAGTTCCACTGGCCTCTCTAAATCCCTCATGCTTTCATTACAAAAAAATAAGTTAAAATAATTAAAAATTCTAGTCTTGCACCTCCTGGCCATTAATAGTATGAAGTCTAGTTTGTCTTGCTAGAACACTACTTGCTCTACATTACTCAATCAAATAACTGTGGCCCTTTCTCCAACACTCAGTACATACAACAGGGGGAGAAGAGGTCAGCATTCTCCTTTTGTTGTTTCCATAAAATCCCCTTCTCTTTGAGATGTACGCTATCCAGCTATGCTAGCCTCTAATGTTTCTTACAGAACCCATTTCATCTTCACTCTCCATACTCAACGAGGACTTAAGCACTGAGACCCTTCTACCTCACCAACAATGAGGTAGATATCTTGCCATTATCCCAGACAATTTCATAGCACAATCTATATAATGTACACACTTCACTATTCTTCCCTTAAATAAATACAATTGCATTCCCCCTACTTCAGTAATCCATTCCACTTGCCATAACCTAGGCCTTGTCATCACTCACACTTGCTCCATCTCTGAAACCAGGACATCTCTGATCTCCAGCCATAATCCCCATCCATCATCTATTCTTTGACCTTATCAAAGCATCCAGTCAATGCCCCATTCCTCTGTTTTACTGAGTCTCAGTTTCTTCCTTCCCCACAGACTACCAATCACTTCATTGCGTTCTCACTAGCCTTAATTTTATTTAATTGGGCTGATTTTGTGTTTTGTTTTTGTTTTTTTAAATATATTTTTATTGATTTCAGAGAGAGGAAGTGAGAGGGAGAAGGAGAGAGAAGCATCAGTGATGAAAGAGTCATTGATCAGCTGCCTCCTGCATGCCCCCTGCTGGGGATCAAGCCGGAAACCAGGGCATGTGCCCTGACCGGGAATCAAGCCTGGGTCTCCTGGATCATAGGTCGATGCTCAACCGCTGAGCAACGCCAGCCACACTGGGCTGATTTTGAAGGGGAAGCATGAAATAGTCATACTTCATTTTCTAGTTCTAATCTCCTGGAAATCACTGAGCAAATTCCATCTTTGTGTTGCAATGGAAAGTATGCAACATCAGCTATGTGGTATTCTTCCCCCAAAAAATTAGCCTGAATCTAATCATGAATAAATAATCAGAAAATTCCAAATTGTGGGATATCTACAAAATTGCAAACTGTGGAACAGACACTTAAAAAAGAGTCAACATATGAAATCTTACAATTTGTGACAGCATGGATGGACCCAGAGGGTGTTATGCTCAGTGAAATAAGTCAGTCAGAGAAAGATTTCACTTATATGTGGAATCTAAAGAATATAAATGAACCAACAACCAAACAAACTCACAGATACAGAGAACAGACTGATGACTGCCAGAAAGGAGAAGGTTTGGGGGAATGGGTGAAATAGGTGAAGAGATTAAGAAGTACAGACTGTTAGCTACAAAGTAGTAATGGGGATGTAAAGTGTAGTATGAAAAATAAAGTCAATAATACTGTGGTAACTCTGTATGGTGCCAGATGGGTACTGGAAGTATCAGACAGAACACTTTGTAGGGTATGTGATTATCTGGCCACTCTGCTGTACACCTGAAACTAATATAAAATAATATTGAATGTAAACTGTAATTGGAAAACTTTTTTTAAAATTTTTTTCTTAAAGATTTTATTTGTAGATGGGTGTAAGGTAGAGTTCATGATTCATTATTTTTCCTTATAGATATTATCTTGAACAAGTGTTATTTTTTTTAAAGGCAAGTATTTCACAGAAGCACAACAATGTCGCTTTTGTCATAAATCAGATGATCATATACGTGAGAAACTGTTTCTGAATTCTATTATATTTCATTGTTCCACTTGTTTATCTTGTAATAAGAATGCAGTTTTAGTTGTTATAGCTTTTTGAACTGGTCTTGATACTCGGTAGTGTAAGTCTTTCAACTCTGGCGTATGCCTTCAAAATTTCATTGGCTAACAAAAATAAACTCAAAACGGATTAAAGACTTAAATGTAAAGACCTGAAACCATAAAAGTCCTAGAAGAAAACACAGGAAGTAAAATATTTGACATTAGTCTGAGTAACAGCTTTTTGGATACTTCCCCTCAAGCAAGGGAAACAAAAGCAATAATAAACAAATGAGACTTCATAAAACTAAAAAGCTTCTGCATAGTGAAAGAAACCTTCAACAAAACAAAAAGACAACCTACTGAAAGAAAGAATATATTCACAAATATTTCTGATCTGGGTTGATATCCAAAATATTTAAGAAACTCATACAACTCAATAATTAAAAAAATAAGCAATACAACAGAAAAATGGGGAAAGGGCATGAAAAGACATTTCTCCAAAGAAGACATACAGATGGCCAACAGACATATGAAAAGATGGTCAACATTACTAATCATCAGGGAAATGTAAATCAAAACTACAGTAAGATACCACCTCACATGTGTCAAGATGGCTATTATCAAAAAGTCAACAAATAACAAGTGTTGGCGAGGATGCGGAGAAAAGGGAACCCTTGTACACTGTTAGTGGAACTGCAAATTGGTGCAGCTCCTATGGAAAACAGTATAAAGGTTCCTTAAAAAACTAAAAATAGATATACCATACAACCCAGCAATTCCACTTTGGGGTATTTATCCAAAGAAAATGAGAACACTAATTAGAACAGATATATGCATCCCTATATTTATTGCAGCATTATTAACAATAGCCAAGACATGGAAGCAACCTAGGTGTCCATCGATACATGAATAGCTATACACACACATACACACACACACAATGGAGTATTACATAGCAATACAAAGAATGAAATCTTGCCGTTTGCAACAACATGAATGGATCTAGAGGGTATTATGCTAAGTGAAATGTCAGGCAGAGTAAGACAAATACCATAAGGTTTCACTTACATGTGGAATCTAAAAAAGCAAAACAAACAAACTATACAAAACAAAAACAGAGAAACAGAGACCAAAGGGATGGTTATCAGAAGGGAGGGGGTGGAGGGATGAGTGAAGAGGGAAAAGAGAATATAGTCAATAATGTTGCGATTAGTTTGCATGGTGACAGATTACTAGAATTATTGGGGTGATGATAGTGTAAGGTAAAAAATGCTGAATCACTATATTGTATACCTGAAACTAATATAACCAATATAAGATTGTACAAAATTAATTTTTTTTAAGTTGCACTGGCTATTTTTGGCCCTTTGCATTTCCATATAAATTACAGAATCACCATGTAAATTTTCACCAGAAATAAAACCTCTTCTGAGATTATGTTTGAGACTGTACAAAACCTAGACAATTCAGGAGAATAGACACTGTTTATATATTCCGTCTTTCAGTGTATATATGTGACATTTTCTTTTATTAAGATTCTTTTTGCTCAAGGAATATATTTGCTTAGGGAATACTGTAGTAACTAGGTATGATTCCAGATGGGTAACAGACTTATCTGGGTGATCACTTTATAAAGTATATCAATGTCTAATCACTATGTTCTACACCTTAAAGTACTATAATATTATATGTCAACTGTAATTGAAAATAACTTTTTTAAAGATTTTCTTTAATTTTTCTCAAAAATACTTTATAATTTTCAGTGTAGGGGTCACATATCTTTGGTCAGATTATGTCTAGGTAATACATTATTCAAAGCTATAATAAACAAATCACAATTTTTAAAAAAAAGAGTCAATGTCCTAAAGATAAAAAATGACTGGGAAACTGTTCTACATTAAATGAATTAAAAAAAAAAAAATGCAATGAGTGATCCCTAATTAGATATTGGATCTAAACAGCAAAAACATAAAAACATATATAGCCATAAAGAATAGTTTGAGAATAATTAGAGAAATCTGAATATGTAGTGAATGTTAACTTTCTTGTTGGTGATAATGGTATTGTAGTTATGTAGGAGAATGCCCTTGTTTTCAGGAGATGCATGCTAAAGAGTTTGTGTGTGAAATTATGATGTCTGCAACATCGGATAAAAAAGCAGAGATGGAGAGAAAGAAAATACACACAAATGTGGTAAAATATAATAACTGATAAATCTAGGGGATACTAATTTGATATTCATGTACTATTCTTTCAACTTTTCTCAGTTTGGAATTTTTTAAATCAAAAGTTGATGGAAAGAAGCAATACAGTAAATTGTTACAATGAGATCATAAACACACACCTGTAAGATAAGTGGGGGGGGGGACCAAAACTTTCAAAATGTGAGGGGATGAATGAAGGTGGGCAAAGGGGAGGGGGCGCCTGCAATAATGTCAACATTAAAATTTTTAATAAAAAAAGAGAAAATAAATAAAGCATATCACACGAGAAAAAACATGTAGTGTGTAAAACTATCATAAAATACTTTAAATGAAGGAGTCTATTATTCAGAATTACAAAAATCTGTACTCCCAAAATGCTGCTAACAACATCAAACACTTGTCCACTTTTTTAAAACTTTTATAGAATATTCAAGAATAAGACCTAAAAAGCTAGCGATTTTCTTCAAAAAAAAAAAAAAAAAAAA